GATGAGCTTAAGTCATTAAGAAAAGATGAGAGTATATTCAGTATATAATTTATATTATATGCTGGGTTTTAAAAAAGTAGGAAAGTATTTAATATGCACTGAAAGACTCCCACCAGAATTAACTAGTATAAAAACCTTGGACATTTGAAAGAGACGAGCATTAGTTCTGTGTAAGTTCACTAGATGGGTAGATGATTTTGGTGTTACTCTAGCAATGTACCCTCATTGTCCATTTGTATGAGATAGGAAAGTCAAACTGAAATAACAATTCTTGTGTTTTTTAGAAATACAATAGCCTTTTCTAATATCAGATATCTAATGAGAAATTAGATAATTTTACTAATATGCTCTAAAACATAAACCTAACCACAAGATACTGTATTATAGATGAATTGCCAAGAATTTGCTACGTTAGTTATAGAAGAAACATGACAATACAACAAGTATTTTTTGAGCACCTATTATTATTCCAAGTACTATGTTAGAATCTGAATATTCAAAGATGAATAACAGCCCTTGCCCTATAGAAGCCCACAACATAGAAGTAATTCTATCAGACAGTTTCTTGAGTATTATCAGTTATATTGTAAATTCCATATACAAGTCAAGAAACAGTACCACCACCATCTCACTATGATTTGGTAATAATTTGACATTTGTGATGCTGTTATTAAGTTTCACTTTTTTATTTTTCCAAAATCATGCAATGTTTCTTGTTCTAAGTTTTAGTGGTGCTTGGATTAAAATGATTCTTTGATATTGTAGCAGAAATAAAATATTTTATTGTTCCAGTTTTACATTGCAGTTTTCCTTAAATGTCAAAAATTATCAAAAAATAAATAAACTGACTTATAATCAACAGGAGATGTCTATAATTTATTGAGTGGAAGGAAATTTATTCAGATTGAAGAGAGATTCTTTCATATAATTTTATAGTCCCCAAGATATTTAGTTATTTCATTTTAAGTGGCTTAAATGCAAAATGGAAGAGACTGGATTTTGTTAATTGTTTTCAAACTTTAAAAAAATAGTTTTAGCAAGAAAACTTTTTTTAAAATATATTTTATTGATTTTTTTACAGAGAGGAAGGGAGAAAGATAGAGTTAGAAACATCTATCAGCTGCCCCTTCCTGCACACTCCCTACTTGGTATGTGCCCACAACCAAAGTACATGCCCTTGACCAGAATCAAACCTGGGACCCTTGAGTCCACAGGCTGTTGCTCTATCCCCTGAGCCAAGTCGGTTATGGCCAGAAAACTTTTTTATTTTATTTTATTTTTTTATTTATTTTATATATTTTATTGATTTTGTACAGAGAGGAAGGGAGAGAGATAGAGAGCTAGAAACATCGGTGATAGAGAGTCATCGATCAGCTGCCTCTTGCACACCCCCTACTGGGAATATGCCCGCAACCAAGGTACATGCCCTTGACCGGAATTGAACCCGGGACCTTTCAGTCCCCAACCCGATGCTCTATCCATTGAGCCAAACCGGTCCCGGCAGAAAACTTTTTAATCAATGTTTTACCTGCGCTCCCACAATTAATAAAAGCATTGTTGCTCTAAATTAGGTGTAGGGAACCTTTTTCTGCCAAGAGCCATTTAGATATTTGTAACATCATTCAAGAGCCATACAAAATTATCAACTTATAAATTTGACTATTATATTTGGTCAAACATTTAATTAACACCCCTAATTCCTTGGCAGGGCCAGACCAAATGATTTCTCAGGCGTTATACAGCCTATGGGCTGGCAGGATGTTCTCTTCCCCAAGTGAAGGTACTCCTGAGTAAGCTGTTTGAAAACCAGGTTGCTTTCAAGTGACATAAAAGAGGTGCAGTGGCAAGATAGATTGCCTTATGCTTTCCTTTGACTAACTGTTTGCTTTATTAACCTATGGTGTCCATATTTTTAAAAGCATGTTTTTATTTGTTTGCATGCAACAATTTATAATGATGCTTTCACATGGTTTCAATTACACCCTTTGTGTGTGTGACCTTCACTTAAGCACCAACTTAGAAGGGAATTCATACAACCTGTTCCTCCTTTGCACTAGGCTGAATCATCCAAATTACCATACTGTAGTGTACAAAACTTGAATAACATTATAAAACTGGTAATGTTCAGTGACTAATATGACTATGAACAACTTTTTTTCCGAAGTATAAATTCAATTAAGATCAAGCACTGGTGCTGAACAAGGCAATGAGCATCTGAAGACGAGCCTGCCCTCAAAGACTTGGACTTTGGCAGTGGACAGGTTAGTATACAAACCTAGTGCAAGGTAAATGCAGCCTCTATTAGCATTTATGTCTGGGCACAGAGAAGTTCTGACCCAGGGAGTGGTTTCCTAAAGAAATGACTGCCCTGTTTCCTGTGATGGAGGAATCTGCACTTTGCCCTTGCAGTATCAAGAACTTATAAGCTTCAAACAAACAAACAAACAAAAACCCTGAGACACTGGGCATCATAAAATGCAAGGCGCTTGCTTGTTTTAGAACTGTTAAAACTTCAGCTCAATCTAGAAGTGCACTTGCTTGCTGTTATATCACAAGTGCAGTTGTCTGGAGCCCAGTTCAGTGCCCTTCCATTGGATGAATCTGCCATTAAAGCTATTGGCAGCCGAAATCGGTTTGGCTCAGTGGATAGAGTGTTGGCCTGCGGACTGTCCCGAGTTTGATTCCGATTAAGGGCATGTACACTGGTTGCGGGCACATCTCCAGCGGGGTGGGGGGGTGCAGGAGGCAGCTGGCCGATGTTCCTCTTTCATCAATATTTCTAGCTCTCTATCTTTTCCTTCCTCTCTAAAAAAAACAACAATGAAATATATTTAAAAAAAAAAAAAAACTGTTGGCGAGACCTTCACAGTACTTCCCTTCCCTGCACCTGCTCCCCTAGTCGAGGCAACTATGAAACACCTGCAGATCCTGCCCCAGCCCAAAGTCTCCACCCTGGGGTCCAGCATCCCTCCACTCCGGGCGCGACCAGCCGCACCTGAGCAGCGGGTGGGCGGGAACCTCCGCAGCTCCAGCGATTACACCGGAAGTGACGTTGCGGAAGCGGAAAGTCTGTCCTGGCGGCCGACTTCCTGTTGTGAGGGGCGGGGCGGGGCGGCGGGCGGCTGGCTCCTCGGTGTTCAGTGCTGCTGGGCGTCCTGGACGGCCCCGGCGCGGCTGACCCTCTGCCTGCGGGGACGGAGCGGCGCGGAGGCCGCCATGGCCGTGTCGGAGAGCCAGCTCAAGAAGATGGTGTCCAAGGTGAGGCCGCGGCGCGTTCGCCCCCGGCGCGCGCCCACCGCTGCCTTCCGTGCCCGGACCGGCACGGCCCGAGCAGGCAGTCCAGCGAGCCTGCCGGGCCGACCGGCCGGGAGCCCAGGGTGGTCCCCGAGCGCCTCTGCGGCCCGGACCCAGAGGTCCCGCTCGCCTAGAGCCCGGACCCGACACCGGGCAGGGAAGGTGGGGGGCGGCGGCTGTCCACAAAGGCGCGGAGTGGAGGCCGCCTGCCACCTGCCGCCCGGACCCCTCTCTTTGGGTTGAGTTTGGAGCAGCCTGTGGGGCAGAGTAGTTTTCGTTTTTATAACACAAAGAGAAGATTGTATTGAATTCTCCATCTGGGGTAGTCCTCCACTCCAATGAAGGGGTCCGTCATCCCTGGCCCTTCCCTCGAAGCCCCCAGAGATTGTCTTTCTCCGTTTTGTATTCCTCGCTCAGCTCAGTACCCGACCGGCGGGAGATCAGTAGTTATTGGTGAACAGGCTCGATTTAGGTAAAAACGTCCAGAAAAGCCAAAATACCAGTATCCCCCTACCTCGGGTAAAATAGAATTGCATTACTATTTCAGGGACTTTGATTGGCTAAGAGCAACTATCTTGTCATTTACTTTTTAAATATTGTTTTTTTCAAAAAAATATTTTTTTTTCAATTGACTTTGTATTATTTTGTATTAGTTTCAGGTGCACAGCATAGTGGTTAGATAAGCAAATACTTTGCAAAGTGTTCCCTCTGATATTTCACCTGGCGCCATACATAGTTATTACAATATTATTGGGTATATTCTTTATGCTGCATTTTACATCCCGTGACTCTTTTGTAACTACCAGTTTGTACTTTTTAATCCCTTCACCTCTTTCATCCAGCCTCCCAGCTCCCTCCACTGCTAGTAGCCATCAGTCTGTTCTCTGTATCTGTGTGTCTTTTTCTATTTTGTTTGTTTTGTTCTTTAGATTCCACATAAACGTGAAATCATATAGTATTTGTATTTCTCTGTCTGACTTATTTCACTTAGCATTAGTATCCTCTAGGTCCATTCATGCTGTCACAAATGGTGAGATTTCATTCTTTTTTATGACTGAATAATATTCCATTGCATTTATGCATTATGTCTTGTTTATCCACTTCTCTATTGATGGACACTTGAGTTGCTTTCATATCTTTTCTTAAAATATATTTTTACTGATTTCAGAGAAGAAGGGAAAGGGAGAGAGATCGAAACATCAATGATGAGAGAGAGTCATTGATTGGCTTCCTCCTGCACGCCCACTGCAGAGGGTTGAGCCTGCAACCCAGGCATGTGCCCTTGACCAGTATCTAACCTGGGATCCTGTAGTCCACAGGCCAAAGCTCTATCCACTGAGCCAAATCGGCTAGGGCCATATCATGATTATTGTAATTAACACTGCAATGAACATGGGGGTGCATATATTCTTTTGAATTAGTGTTTTGGGTTTCTTTGGATTATACTCAGAAGTGGAATTGTTGGGTCGTAAAGCAATTCCATTTTTTAATTTTTTTTTTAGGAATCTCATGTTTCCCCACATTAGGTGCACCGATCTGCATTCCCACCAGCAGTGTATCAGAGCTCCTCTTTATCCACATCCTCCCCACCACTTGTTTGATGATTTGATTATAGTCATTCTGACAGGTGTGAGGTGATATCTCATTGTGGTTTTAATTTGCATTTCTCCCATGATTAGTGACGTTGAGCATCTCTTCATGTCTATTGGCCATAAAAGTAACTATCTTTAATTGTATGCTTATAACATGAATTTATTTGCTTTGAACTTAATTTATAATCCTCACAGTTCGCAAATAGTGTAAATTTTCTTTAAAAAAAAAAAAAAGTGGCCGAAACCGGTTTGGCTCAATGGTAGAGCGTCGGTCTGCGGACTGAAAGGTCCCAGGTTCGATTCCGGTCAAGGGCATGTACTGTGGTTTCGGGCACATCCCCGGTAGGGGGTGTGCAAGAGGCAGCTGGTCGATGTTTCTCTCTCATCGACATTTCTAGCTCTCTATCCCTCTCTCCTCTCTGTAAAAAATCAATAAAATATATATATATATAAAAAAAAAAGTGGGCATTTTGTTTATTAAAGCTATGCATTATTTTGGTAGTTACTTCAAATATGGCACCTGATATCAGAGTGAACTGGGCATTTGTTTCCCTCCCCCCCCCCCCCCATATTTACCATACCTAATTGTAATAAGATGCATGTGAAGTGATTGAGAGTTGATTCTTCTGTAGTTCACTGGGTTAACTTTGGATGTTTGTCAGAGCAAGGATGATAGAAATCAGCCCTACATGGTTTGCTCAGTGGTTAGAGTGGACTGAAGGGTCCCAGGTTCGATTCCAGTCAAAGGCATGCACCTAAGTTGCTGGTTCAGTCACTGGCGGCCTGATGTGTCTTTCACATTGATTTCTCTCTTGATTCTCCCCCTTCCTTCCACAATCTCTTAAAAAAGAAAAAAAGGAAAAAAAAAAACACGGAAAAAATATCCTTGGATGAGGATTAACAACAGCAAATAAAAAAATTCAACTGACTTGAAAAAATCACAAGTCAGTTGATTTTTTTTTATTTGCTGTTGTTAATCCTCATCAGTAAGTAGCATCAATATGTGAAATTTCATACTTTGGTGGACGGCTAGCTTCAGGTGTTATTCTTTCAGTCGGGTGTGGTTCTTGTAGGAATTGCTAGCCAAGACCCTAGACACAGGTGATGGTTCTTGATTCTTTATCTTATTGTGGAATCCTGCACCCATCATAGTACTTTGGTCCACCTATCTTAACTTAATGTGTCTTTATTTTGAGATACAGCTGACATAACATTATATTACCTTTTTATATATTATTACAGATCATTTTTTTCCTTTGAACATTATCTTAGCTCCCAACTTAAATATTACTGTTAGTTAACACCCTCCTCTGCCATTATTTTAGCAATTTATGGAGGTATATTTATACCATTAGTCCATCTTGCTTTATACAAATAACTTTCTACTTTAAGTTTTTCAGGCTTTAACTAATGTTAATGATTAGTCAGAACCATTATACTTTTAAAAGAGTGCTACTAAAAAGTAAGATTTTAAGAAAATTAACCTAGCAGTAAAATATGTACATTGGTTTTAAACTAAATTCTTGTGTGATTTTGCTTTTCAGTACAAATACAGAGACCTAACTGTACGTGAAACTATCAACGTGATTACATTATACAAAGATCTCAAACCTGTATTGGATTCATATGGTGAGTTTACATAACAAAATATCAATCACTGTACGTTGAGTTTACTCCTCTTGTTAATTATTTTAGGTTTTCCATTTTCCTTTTAAGATTGTCTTTTCTATTATAAGACTATACCTCCACCTAAGGTAAATATTGGAGGTATAGAAAATTTCAAGACCTAACAATAATGTCTTATATTTGTTTAGTTATTTTAAGTGTTAAAAAGGTACTCAAAGATATAGCTATGCAAATTTACACCTAGAGGGGATATTAAAGATGGTTTAGTTCATCTTTTCCCAAAGTATTATCCATAGTTGTGAAGAATGTTGCTGGGAGTTTGGGTTCTATGGTTAAGTTTGAATAGTTACGGATTAAACAAAATTAAGTGGGCTTCTTTGCAGCAGTGTTGCAATGTTTCTCAGAGCCTTTAATGGGCTACCTCACCAAGAAGAGGGAGGATATAGCGTAGTGTATCCTAAAGTTAATTAACTATGACACATTCCTCCCTGCCCCCTGCATCTCTGTATCTTCTTAGGAAGACATTTAACAAAACTATATACTGGACTATCACTTATTTATAGATGAGGAAAACATTTTTAAAATATGATGCTTAATTCTGTAGAGTGCATAGGTGACAGTTTTGTTATTGAGACAAATGAAGTGGGTTTTGAGTAAGAAATAACAATACCTAAAGTTCTTTTTTTTTTTTTTTAACACTCTTTTTGGCCCCACACCTTACGTGCCAGGGCCAAGAGCTCCTGTCCATTAGTAGGTCCTTGGCACTGAGGACAAGGAGCTAAATTCTTTTTTTTTCTTTTCATTTTTTATTAAGGTATATGTGTACATATCTTACCATTGCCCCCCCACCCCACTCCCATACATGACCTCACCCCCCAGAGTTTTGTGTCCGTTGGTTAGGCTTATATGCATGCACACAAGTCTTTCAATTGATCTCTTATCTCCCCACCTCTCCCTAACCTAACCTTCCCGCTGTAATTTGACATTCTGTTTGATACTTTACTGTCTCTGTATCTATCTTTTTGTTCAACAGTTTATAATTTTCTTTATTATCCATAAATGAGTGAGATCATGTGGTATTTTTCTTTCATTGACTGGCTTATTTCACTTAGCATGATGTTCCAAGGAGCTGAATTCTATAGCTGAGACTCTCACTCTAAACTCCACTCACTCCTAGGGCTTTGAAAACATTAGGAGCCTAGTGAGGAGAGGTGGGAGGCAATAGAGGGACAACCAGTCCTGAGTTTCCTGAACAACAAAAACGTGAACTTCAAATTCTCTTCCAAACTTAGGGCACGGTTCTACTTCATGTCCACATACTCTACAGTGGTATCTAGAGCCACAAAAACCTCGTATTACCAAAATTGGTTTATTTAAAACTGGCTTCGGTGGGGCGGAGGGGGATTGGAGCTAGAATTTTACTGTGATAGTTTTTACTTCATGCTAAAAAAGTAAGTGTGTTGGTCAAAACCAGCAAAGACTCCAACATCATTAAACAAATCTTATATTAACCTTATATGGCCAGACCATATCAAAACCATTATTATCAATATGCTTTTAGAGTAAAATAAGTCATAATTTAAATAAGGTGTGTTTTTTTGTTGTTTTTTTAAACACAACACAAAATCAGAATAAATTACAGCATAGTTTATAGTTGTCAGCAGTAAGTAAAAGAACTAAGGTCAACAGTATTTTGTTGTACTTTACATTGCAGCCTTTTCCCAATGTGGTACAGTGTTAATTCCAAATCATTATTACAAACTAGAGGCCTTGGTTCACGGATTTGTGCACTAGTGAGTGTGGCCTGTGGGAACCAGCAGCCACTCATCCTGGTCAGCAGAACAGTGCTACCACTGTGGGAGCACACTAACTATCAGGGGCAGCTCCTGCATTGAGCGTCTGGCCCCTTGTGTTCAGTGCACATCATAGCAACTGGTCGACCGGTCTTTCTGGTTCTGTCATTTGGTCATTTGGGCTTTTATATATGTAGGTAATAGCAGCCAATATAATACAAATTATGTGTGCTTTAATCAATTATACTTAGAAAAACTTGTGTGATTTGGTATGATACATATTCGTATTAAAAAATGTTTATATTTCATTGTGAAAACTTTTTTAAAACTGGTTTGATGCTATGTTTGGGCTAAACATATGGGGAATCTAAAATTTTATATTAGACTAATAGTATGGTATTAGTTAATAGTATTTTTTTATATAATTTTATAATCATGTTTGTTGGGGAAGCAGAGCTCATGCTTACTGGGATTGTAGTACTCACATTCATTTTTACAAGTACTTTAAAGCACCTTTTCTTTTTTTTCTCTTTTTTTCAAAGCACCTTTTCTTTACTCATTTAAAAACTGATCCCACGGAGTGAATCAGCAAAGGATACTCTGTTATTCGGCAAAATGGGTGAAACATTTAGCAAGTTAACCCATTTCAAGGGTAATAATGGGTTTTAACCAGCACTTCTGAAAGAATAACTTACTGGGAACATCTACAAAAATGCTCATGTTTAAATCATTATTCTTTCCTTTTCAGTTTTTAATGATGGCAGTTCCAGGGAACTAATGAACCTCACTGGAACAGTTCCTGTGCTTTATAGAGGTAAGTATCTTATGTAATTTATGTTTCCAGTATAGAGGTATTTTGACTCACATAATATGTTGTCAAAGAGTTATAAGTAAATTAAACCTATTTCCTCATGATTTTCATGACGATGTAGAGATTTAACTTCTGTTGAAATTGAACTTCATTTGTCAGCAGCACCTATTTCAGCTTATTTTCCCTTTCCTACCCACATATCATGTATCAATTAGTGACTTCTTGTGCTAAAGTTTCATAGAATCAGAGAATCTTAAAACTAGAATCTCTCATGCCTCCTAGTTCAGCATTCCACCACATTTAGACTTTTCTGACAATGGTAGCTGTAGAGTGTAGTGGCTAAAATAGAGGCTTTAAAGTCAGAGCAGCCACGCTGACATGGCTTAGTAGCTGAATGTTAACCCATGGACCAGGAGGTTATTCAGTTTCTGGATGGGGCATATACCCGGGTCCCTAGTGTGGGGCATGCAGGAGGCAGCCAGTCAGTGATTCTCTGTTGTCATTGATGTTTCTATCTTTGTCTCTCTCAAATCAATAAAAATACATTTCTTTTAAAAGGGGAAAAAAATTAGGGCAAAGTAAGGTTTCCGTTCTCTCTCTAATCAGGTTTGTGATAATGGGCATCTATAACATTTGTATAGTAGTATTTAACTCAAAAATTCATTGTATGTCAGGACTTAAAAATGAGTCTGGTATGTAATAAAACACATAAAAAAGTTGGTATTATTTAAGGTGGTAATGTTGGTGATAATCTGATGATGGGTAATTACATATCTATTAGCCAGTCAACACCCTCTGCTGGGATACTTTACAGTGATCAGGGAACATTCAGTTTCATAAATGACAGTTCTGTTTTTGGAGAGCTCTCTTTGTGAATTGTTCCTTGTGACTCATTAAGACCTGTGTCTAATTTAGCCATTAATTTTGAGTAGTACCTACTATGCATGAGGCATAGGAGATAAGGGCTATGGATGCAAAGATAAGTAAAAGTGTACCTTCTCTGGAAGAAGTTATACAAATAGGGAAAACAGAGGGAATAAATAGGTATTTATAATATTCCATAACTGCTATAGAATGATAAAATATAAAGGTACTATGACACCCTAACCGCTTTGGCTCAGTGGATAGAGCATCGGCCTGCGGACTCAAGGATCCTGTGTTCGATTCCAGTAGAGGGCTTATACCTTGGTTGCAGGCACATACCCAGTGGGGAGTGTGCAGGAGGCAGCTGATTGATGTTTCCCCCTCATTGATGTTTGTAACTCTCCATCGCTCTCCCTTCCTCTCTATAAAAAAAAAAAATCAATAAAATATATTTTAAAAAAATAAAGGTGCTATGAGATTACAGAGGAGAATAAGACCATATTGGAAGATAATGACATTTGAACTTTGTGTAGTTATCAATTAGCTACTGAATCCTGCTGTTATATTTTGCAAACAGAAAATTTAAGAAACTGATCTTAAGCAGAACTTTAAAATATTAAAATATTTGTGATTTTTTAAAAGTGTTGCTTGCTTGTAGCTCTCTCTTGCTCGCCTACTAAGCCATTATTGAAAAATAATTTAAAAGATGGAGTAACTGAAGTTTTTCTCTCTTTCAGGTAATACATAT